AGTCTAAAAGAACTGAACTGTTACTGTCTAAAAAATACTTTTTCTTCATTCTGAGTCAAGCAGAAATATTATGAAATTACTCCATGTATCACTGTTTACAAAAACATTCACTGAAGCAACTATTGGATATCATTCTTATAGGGATTTTGTTGTTGGAATTTAGAAATCCTCAGCCTCTTCAATCTGGATGTCCTGTTTGCTGTCTTATTCTTTGCTGTTTCCCGAAGCCTAACCTCTCCTAACTTCCCAGTTTCCTCACGCCACCTAAAATCCAGGTGGCTTTGGAAGTTTACAAAAATCACACAAATGCAGGTGGAATAGTATGTACAAGTGGAGAGGGGTTTGAGTAGGTGGTGGAGGGTGGAGAACATGTTATCAGAAATTTAGGCTCAAACCCCAACTCTGCCATTGACCAACTATGCAAATTTGGACCTTACTTTCATCATCTGCAAAATGAGGGTTTTAGATAAACACACACACACACACACACTCCATTCCTAGTAGCTTTGTTGTCAAGAGTCAATGAGCTAATACATAAAAAGATGTGAATCTTATTGTAAGAACTACCATTATTTAGGTCATATCATATGGGAGTTATGAGCCAAGTTTTTAAAAAAAAATAGTACTAACTGGGTGGAGTTACCTCCACCCAACACTTCCCTTAATCCCTACTTACATGATACTCCTCTACTTGAGCTGACTTGTTTCTAAAGGTCTTTCTCAAGATGTGAAGCATAGATGTTAATTAGATAGCTTTGAATGAGCAGAGAAGTTAAAAATCAAAAAACAACCCAAAATTCCTGAAATGTAATAGTCTCTTTTATTTATTAGTGAAATATTTTAGGCATAAAAGTGAATATAAACCTGCTTTATTTCCTCTGAGCTTAGAAAATTTCACTTCTAAGTCGTATATAACAAAAATTAGCAGAGGCAACTCCTGGCGGGTGAGTCAGAGGTCTCATATTTTTAGCCTCAGAAAGTCAGTGCAGAGAGTTGGAATATGAGAGCAGGGTTTCAAAGCTCAGCTCAACTTTTTTTGGCCTACAAACTGCCCATCGAAGTGCAGTATGCCAGCTAGTGTTCTGACAGCTGGTGAACAGAGAATTTAAAAAAGAAGGAAAAAAAGGAAGGGAAAAAATCTACTGTATGAGAAGGATAATCACTTGGAAGGCATTGCTTGGATCAGTGCTACAGGAAGAGTTATAAAAAGGAGGGAGTGAAATAAATAACTGATTCTTGCCACCAAGGTAATGATTAAGAATTTCACAGAAAGGGGAAAGATGTTTAACATAAGGCAGTTTTCCCTAAATTTTAATTATCTACAAACCACCCTCACAATGTTGCCATATCTCTATACTTCGTGTATTATTATTCACTTAATATATGTTTTGAACAGTCACTTTAAAAAATCTTATGTGTGTTTAGACAGGAAACCTAATTCACTACAGTAAATAGAAAACTAGAATAATTTGTCATAAATAGAAGGTACCTATAAAAAAAATAAACCAATGTTATTAAATTATAGCTAGATATTGTCTATAGAAGATTCTGACCACAAAGCCTGCTGCTATCTTTTTGTTAAAAATGAAGTTTGGCAAGTGCTAGATGGATATTAGAAATACTCTATACTGAAACCTCCTCTTTGAGGCTGTTAGACAAAAGGAAAGGGGATTAAGTTTCTCACTGTGTAAGAATATTCAACAAATATTTATCGAGTCAATGTTACTTAATGTCATTGTCTGCAAACACCTAGAAACAATCTTTAGCTCTACTTGTCCTACATTTTGGGAATGGTGTACTGGATAAAAGGGTAGTCTGAGTGTTGGACAGACATGAATTTAAACCCCAGTTTTACCATTTAATGACACACTTACCTTGAAAAGGTAATTTTAGCTCTATCATTCTGTTGCCTCATTTTTATTTAGAGAATATTTAGTACATTTAATAAATCTTGTTGTGAAGATGAGGAAGATTATGTGAAGATGATAATGTGAATATTGATGTATAGGATGGGCTGATGAAGGGGCTGTACTATTACATACATTGCTCTTTTATTAAGGTTTTGTCTATAGGTTGTCAAGCATGTACATTTTAACTTAATTCAGGTTTTTAACAATCTGTCCATAGTATTTGTCCTTCTAACATTGTAATTCTTCTTCTCAAAATCTGACTGTGGTTTTTCTATTCCTCTGTGATTTCTTCCTCTTATTGTTTACTGTGGTTTTTCCTTAGGTTCAATCTCTGAGTCTCTTTCTTCTCAGTTTTTATACTATTCCTTAGAAGCCTGTTCATTTTTAAGGCTTTAGCAATGTCTTGTCAGATGACTTCTAAAATTAGTACCTCCAAATCTGGCCTTCACCTGTTTACAGCTGAAATTGCTACTTGATAATTGGCATGTCATGTCACTTTAGATTCAGATTTAAATTTAAAATTAGCACATTCATTTTGTCCTCTTTTCCTTGTCAGTGATCCCACCATAACTCCATTTTTTTATGCATGTAGGAGTTAGGTACATGTGTTTCACAGTCAGAATATTCTGAATCCTGTCTCTACCATTTACCTATTTAACAAAAAATTACTCATTAACAAGATCCTATTCAATATATATATATTTTTTGGTCAAAAGTTCTCAATACTTCAGATAGGTATAGAGTGAAAGAAGCTATAAAGAAATATAACTAACATACTTTTAACTTTGAATTTCATTAATTAATTAATTTATAGGGAAGAGTTAACATTAGTTTTAAAAAGTGAAGAATAAAGCATATATTTTTCTTTTGCATAGTTTTTTTTGTGAAACATTGGTTCTAAAATTAATTCAAACTAGTTAGATAAGAGTTTTATCAGTGTGCTGAAAGTGGCTAAGTACCAAAGAGCGGGGATAAATGACAGGGATTGACCTCTTGGGAAAGTCTGAAGTGGTGGCTCCATGTTAGGTCAAGTGTTAGTGACAAGCTTTGAAGAGAATAAATGATTTTTTAAGGTATTAATATCTAGACTATGGTAATTTTGGGGGAGATGAGAAAATATAGTAAGTAATCTTGCAAGTTTCATTAACTATAAAAATTACAGCAAAATTCCACGAAGATTTTTTTTGGTCATTGTCCAATTTTCTTTAAAAACAGATCATTGTGTGCACTGTACCAGATCATGTTGTAAATATAAAATAGATATAGTCTCTGTTCTGAATAGTTTAAAGGAAGGTCCAATGACTCCAGGAATATGGCAAAGTTTAGTGCTTGAAATGAATTAAATGAAATAACTAAAATATATATAGTCTTATCTTGTGATGTGAAAGTAAAATAAGCCAATTCCTTTTGTACATACTTATGAAAAGGCATGTTATAAAGTTGTTGGTGACTGATTTTTATTTCAATAAAAGTGAATATGGGAAATTGAAATATATCCAGAAGACACATTAAATTGTGATGATTCATTTTATAAGTGGGTACAACTAGCATTCTTTTAAATTATAATTTTTCAGGTAATTTCAAGTACAATAGGCATTGGTTCATCTAAATCCTTCACAGGTTATTTTAGTATTCCCTAGGATGCAACTGGCTTAAAGTTAAAAGATTTAATTTTCCTTAGTAGGGCTAGATACTCCTTATAATTTCATTTTTATTGTAGCTTCTAATCCTACTTATCCATATTCTTCTATCCTTTTCGGTCTGAGAATCTTTTCCTTTACTGAAATGATAGAAGCAAAAAAGAAGTGAATGGATTCTCAGTCTCTCTTCTGTTAATTTATACCACTGACTCCAAATATATTTAATTCCTCCTTTTTGTTTTCTTGTACCTAACAAAGTTTTTTTTAATGCTATCCTTAGAATTTCCCCCAACTTCATCTCATTATAGATTTTATATCTTCTGTAAACCAATGACTTATCTAATTAAAAATGGAAATTCATTTTTTTATCTAGTCAGCTGTTACCATTTTCCTTGGCACTAACTTTTCTATACAGAACATAATTTCAATGTTAAATTTTTCATGTGAAATTATAATCCATACTTTTTTGTTACCTTTTTATTTTGAAAAATTTCAAATCTGGAGAAAAGTTAAAAAAAATATGAGCACCTGGGCCCTCCAATTGACTTACCTACCCATTTTTAATATTTTGCTACATTTGTTTGCTCTGTTTCATACATATACATATTTGTTTTACATATTTTACATATTTGTGTATTTCTCTGAATCATTTGCAAATAAGTTGTAGACCCAACTCTTCATCTATAAATGGTTTGATATAAAATCCCAAGGTTAAGAACAATACCATGACAACATTTAAGGAAACCATAATTCTACTATACTGTCCAATATATTCAGTCCACATACAAATTTCTGCAGTTGGTCACAAATAATTTTCTTTTTATTTATTATTTTTTAGATCCAGGATTGCATTTTGTTGTCATGTCTCTTGCATCTCTTTAATCTGGAAGAATTTTTGTTTTCTTTTTATAATTACAGTGGCCCATTTTAGCAGTCCAGACCAGTTTTCTTGTAGAGTATGCCTCATTTTGGATTTATATGCCTGTGTCTTCATGTTTAACCTGTTCCAATATCCCCTATATGACCTTTAAATTTGTGCTTACTTCTAGACCAATGCTTCTCAATCTTGCACTACTGACATTTTGGGCCAGAAAATTATGTTGGGAGTGTTGGGCTGTCCTTTGCATTGTAGGATGTATAGTAGCATTCCTGTTGCATCCCGTCACATATAGTAACACCCTCTACCCCAGGTTGTGATAACCAACACCGTCTCCAGATTGCTAAAGTGCCCAGGTGGGTGAGAATCTAACCCCTGGAGAGCAACCACTACCTAGATTAAGAAGCTGGATTGAATTCAGGTTAAACAATTTTGGCAAGAATATTTCTTAAATGATTTGCATGTTTAATTGCATTACATCAGAAAGAGTGTAACATGAGATTGTCCCATTACCAGTGATTTTAGCTTTGATCATTTATTTAAGGCAGTGATTTTTTTTTTTTTTTAAATTTCAGAATATTACCGGGGTACAAACGTTTTGGTTACATGAATTACTCAGTGATTTTTTTTTCTTTTACAGTAAAGGTACATTTTCCCTTTTATAATAAGCAAGTTATGGCTCCATACTTTGAGACTATGTGAAGATCCTGTAATCCTACAATCTTTCACTCTGTGGCTTTTAATATCCTCTGATAAACTTGGCCTGAATCAATTGTGATTCACTAGGGATTCCATTTGTTTCTAAGCACATTGTTTAGATAATTTTAGATCACAAGTAACTCCATCCTATTCCCTACAATTTGCTCCACAAAACACTGAATTGCCTTACCTTAAGAATGGGGTAAAGATTGGGATTCCCACCGGAGAAATTGGGGACAATATGAGCATTAAAAAGAGTAATGATAATAACTGATGTAACACATTGAATATTTTAAAAATGCATGAATTTGGAGTGCTACTAACAATAAGATTTAAAAAAAGGAAAGGAGAATGAAACCTTTTCTTTCAGAGGAATACCAGTTAATAAAAGTAGCACTTTAAAGTTATCACAAGCATCATGTAATGGTCAATTCTTACTGTATTACACTGCAAATGAGAACAAATGTGTAACAGCTTCACATTTAACAAGGGAGAAAATCCTGATGACTGGGACAACATATCATTTGCATAGTTAACAAGTTATGCAAATTGCAAAATGTAAATAATTGGTAAGAGAAGATTCTATTTAACAACCAATAAAATTACTGGCAACTTATTTTTGAGTCATCTATTTACCTTTAAAATGGTAAATCTTTTCCTGGCACCTGGATATGATGACCGATGTCTGTAAATTGAAATATACTTGTAGCATATGTACGACCTAAACATTGTATAATACTGCAAATTGTAGGGAATAGGATGGAGTTACTTCTGATCTAAAATTATCCAAACAATGTGCTTGGAAACAAATTTTAGTAACAGTCGATCTAAGGAAAGCGCCACAATTTTAAAACTGTGACTTTTGGGAAGTCCAAACGGAATCCCTAGGTAACATGAGAAAAATTTATATTAAGGAATTTTAGCTCCACCCAAGGCAATATCCTCTTCCTTCTGTAACTGCCAATTTCCTCCCCAAACCCAAGAGCGTCTCTGTCCAGTTCCGCAGTCTCTGCTCTAAGTCTGTGTTTGTGATGATGGACTCGGAGAAAGCAGACGCTGCAAGCAGCAGTGAGGCGGGTTACATTTCCCAAGTCTCTTCCCTGGACTTGCCAGCTGCGGACAGGGCCACTCCTAAGCGTCTTTCTCTCCCCGGCCAAGAGAGAACGAGAGGGTGGAGCAAACTTTTAGAGTGTCTCGTCCCGCGTACCCTTCCGCCTGTTCTTCCCTGATTGGCCCGTGTGAGTCTCGGCCGCCCAATCCCGCTGGAGCGACCCCCGCGACGATAGGCGCCGCCGCGGCGCATGCTCACTTGGGGCCTGCACGTCAGCCCCCTTGAGTGCTGGCGGAAGGCATTGGCAGGGCGGTGCTGGGAGCTGGCCCGCCAGTGCCGGTGCTGAGGTCATAGGGCTACGCTGGGACGTGGACGAGCACAGTGGGAGGCCGACGGGAAAAACAGGCACTGACACAACTGTCCGATGTACCCGTATTCCCTAAGTGCAGGTTTTCTTGGGTTGACCATTCACTTTCATTGTGATTTCCGACCTGGGCACCACAGTCTGACGTGGGGACTCGAAAAAGCCTGCATTCTTTCCTTTGCATCCGGGCTCCATGAAAGGCGAGGTGAATGGAGTGAGTCTTCATAAGAAAGTAAACTCTTCTCCTATAAAGAATGGGCTGGAGACACCTTTGAGTTTTGCTGCAGGAAATGTGGCGGCCCTTTTAGCTTCCTACTGGAAGCGCTCCGTCGGAGCCAGGTCTTCTGAACTCTAGCGTCATCCTGCCCTCTCTGAGGTGACCGCCTGTGGGCGCTGGACCCGCGGACGATCATTTCTGCTCTACAAAGAACCTCCTCACTAGTTTCCAAGGTGTGCAACTCAGAAAAGTGACCCAAAAAACAAAAGCCTCTGGTGGAGAGGAAGAGTCTCCATAGTCCCTGCTAATTAATTGTCCTCCGACTTCAGCCCCTAGCCGGCGTCCGGCCCGGCACAGCCGCGGGCGCGCCGCAGTCTCCCAGCTCCACACCAGGCCGGCCCCTACGGCCGCTCAGAAAACGCGGCGAGCGGAACCCGCACGCGGAAGCGCCGGCCGCACTGAGCATGCCCAGTTGCAGAGCCGACCAGAGGAGTTTTTTTTTTCTTTTCTTTTCTTTTCTTTTTTTTTTTTTTTTTTTTTGGGTCTGAAGTAGGAGGCCTCCCCCGGACCCCCACCCCAGCCCCCACCACCCCCGGCCTAAGCAGCTACCATGGCCGAGCTCGTCGGCGCGGCGTTGTCCCAGGCGGGTTGGTAAGTGGAGAGTCCCGCCGGCCGCCGGGCCGCGGGCGCGGTCCGGGGCCCCGAGGAGGGTAGGAGTTGGGGGCGGTGGGGTGCGTGTCGGGGTGGGCGGAGGCCGCTGTCCGCCCCCGGCCTCTCTCTGGGCCCTTCGGGCCGGCTCCGCCCCTGGCGCCACGCGGAGCCGAGCCATTGCCCCAGCTTCCCTCCGGGCGGCGGCGGCCTGGGCCCCGGGCGGCGGGCCTGGGGAGAGGCCGGGGACCGCGGGCTGGGCGGGTGGCGGCCCAAGCCCGGGCCGAGCCGCGCCGCCCCGGAGGACCTGCAGCGCCGTCCGCGCCGCCGCTCCGAGGGTGTTGTTGCGGCAGGACAAGGGGAGGCGAGGGCTGGAGAACCCCGTGCGGGGGAGAGGGACGAGCGCGGCCGAAGCCCGCGGGTCCCCAGGAAGTTGAGGGAGACCGGAGCACAGCCCGCGCTGCTGCCCGAGCCTTCCCTTCTTTCTCCTTATTTCAAAGTGCAGTACCGACCGGTGTGAAGCTGTCCTCCGGGCACACACACAACTTCTGAAGCTGGGAATGACCGCATTGTCAACTCGTGGGGGTGAACTCTCGTGCTCCGTGGAACTTTTCTGGAGAGGATGGCGTTGTTCTGATTTTTAAAAGACCTTTCGTGTTGAGATTTTAGGATCCGAAAGCAGTAAACATGCGAAATTAATCAGTTTCTGGAACTGCGGCCATTACGGTTGTAAACATCTAGTTTAATTCAGCAATGCTTTCCCTAGGCTTTAGAGGCACTGTCTGGGATGAGGGGTAGAAATGAGGGTGAAAAAGATTTGCCCTGGCCCTCTGAAATCACCACCTTAATGAGAAGAAAGAGGGAGGTATTAAAAGACCAAACACATAACTACAGGAAATAGTGGTAAACTGTACAAAGGAACAAAAAGGTGTGCTATGGAATTGGAGGGAGAGTTCATTTCCTAGAGAAGTGGGCTTTGAAAGACAAAACTGCTGGGTATGAGACAGAGTTAGGAAAGAGCATATGGTTTTACAGAACTGACAGTAGATCCATATGGTTCGTAGAAGTAGGTGGGTGTTGAATTAGGACTACTACTAGTGCCTAAACGATGTGGAATTGGTTTTGTGAGTAAAGGTTTTGGTCAGTAGAGTGAAACAGTCACACCTGTGTTTTAAATAACCCCCTCCTGGTTTTAAAGGCACTGGTATTATCCACCCCATCTTACAGGGGAAGAGACTGAGGCAAAGAGCTGTTAAGTAACAGGTAGAAAGTGGTGGAGTTGAATGTTGAGCAGAGAGGGCCAGGTTCCAGACCCGGTGATTTTAGCCCGTGTACATAATTGTTCATACAGTTGTTTTTTTTTTCTTAGAACACCATTGGCATAACAAATTGTAGACTGAAAAACTCACCTTACTCAGTTTTATTTTTGTTCAAAGAATCTCTTCAGTTTCTTTTCCTCACAAGACTGTCTTGAATATTCTTGGATCACTCTTTTATTTTAATTTTCTCTCATTCCTCATTTGATTGAACCTTAGTTCTTCAAACGAGTAATATAATTTCATTTACAAACTCAGTCTTTTAGTGCTTTCCAAGATGATCTCTCCTCTAGAAAGGTTAGTTTCATTATTTGGGTCCCAAACACATGCTAAATTTGTCTTCTTTGAACTCTTAAGCTCCTTAAGGGCAGGGAACTGGTTCTTATTTATCTGTGTATCCCTAGTGCCAAGGAGTGCACTACATTGTAGCTTCTCAGTAAAGTGTAATGTAGTTGACCTTGGAATGCCCCTGCCAGTCAGAATTCTCCAGGCAGAGCCTCTACAGAAACTTAGATACTGAGTCCTCTCCTGCCTTGTGATATTTTTGTAAGTCCTCAGCAATGTTATATTGTGGCATTTGCCACTATGTATTACAAATTACCTGTTTATATGTTTCTTCCACCAGTCTGTGCTGCTTCTGTATGGCAGTGACTCATAGTAATCTGTGGAGTAAGACTATCTTTCTAGGAATTTGTGAGTTTCATGTAATTCGTGATAGAGCCTTAATAGACTAGGCGTGATGATCTGCTAGGCTTTCAGGTGGTTTATACTAGGTCTTAAAGAGGAACTTGCCACCTTAAAATACAGAATCACAAAGACTTAGGCAGAGAAGAGCACTGGAAGGAAAATTTCTGACCTGAGAGCTTTGGCCAACTCTTTCCAGTTCTGACATCCTGAGTTTCTGCTTCCACATGGGGTCTCTGTTGTTGTCACTGGCAAGAGGATGTGGGTAGGTTATACGCAAATACTATGACACTTTATACCAGGGGCCTGCGCATCAGTGAATTTCGGTATCTGTGGGGCTTCTGGGACCAGTCCCCTTGGATACTGAGGGGTGACTCTATCTGAAAAAGTAAGTGTCTTTGTTTTACTCAACAATTTTGAGTTGAAGACTTTATAAGGTAGTGTTAGAAATAGTGTTTCCACTTTATTCTGAAAGAACATAAATTAAGAATTGTAGGTTTCTAATGGCCAAAGTTTAACTATACAGGGTGCTCCAGGTTTTCTTTCTTTCTTTCTCTCTCTCTTTCTTTCTTTCTTTCTTTCTTTCTTTCTTTCTTTCTTTCTTTCTTTCTTTCTTTCTCTCTCTCTCTCTCTCTCTCTCTCTCTCTCTGTCTCTCTCTCTCTCTGTCTCTCTCTCTTTTTTTTTGGAGGAGGATGGGGTGGATGGGACAGAGGATAAACATAAAAGTCTTCTGTATACCTCATTCTCCTTAAATTTCACCTTCTCCTTTGAGGTTATATCTTTTTGATTATTGGCCCAATCGCATAGAACTCCCTTCCCTTTGAACAATTAAGAAAGGCTACAGCTTATAAAATCAAAAGTCTTTATCAAAATGTAGTCCTAGAGAGCAACCATTGGATAAATGGAGATAATAAGAAGCAAAATGGCACTGTGATTACAGATTGATTATTCTCTTTTCTTGAAGGACCTGCTCTCTTCCACATATTACCTTGAGATAGCTATTTCAAAGAGGTAGAACAACTTCAGGGCATTTTGCTGGAATTTCTAATTCCTAGTTTTTGACCTGTCCACAGATGGAGGGCTACTTTTCACATCCCATCACATAGAAGCTTCTCAGACAAGTTAATGATCATGACCAAGAAAGTCAACTTCCCATTCTGTCACCCACCCCTGTGCCTTTCTTGTTTGTTTAATTTCAGTTTTCTGAGAGACACACCTACTAGTGGTAGTAGACATACAGTATGAGTTTATGCATATGATAAGTAAACCCAGAAATTTTGCTTCCTCATATTATTCCAGCCTAACTGTTAGGAATAAGTATATTTATTCTAAGTAGAGAATAATGGTAGTTCTTTATAAGGTTGCATATTAAGTACAGGATTTTTTTTTAAATTATCTATAATTGTAAAACACTTTTTCATTACTACTTTACTGTAAGTACTCTTGGTATACTCTTTTAGAAAGAATCAGAATCATTAAAACATTTTTTAGCTACTGAAGAATACTAGAAGAAACCAACTACTTTTTATTTGATTTTCAGGGGAGCTTATTGGGAACTTCCTTCTATTTTGAAATATTTCCCATTTCTTTAATGAACATTTGTAGCTATCTCCCTAGTTTAATATTGTTTGCAAAACCAAAATGTTCCAAGGTAATAAGCCTTGTTGACCTTCTATCTTAAAATATGTTACACATTGCCTTGCAGCTTCTACTGATATTGTAAACTGCTAAAAATGACTGGGTATTCTGTTAAACTGTGCAAGTGTTTAGGTTTCAAGGTGCTGTTTGCAGTGATTTTTTTTTTTTTTTTGGTGACTAACCTATAAATCTAGTTTCAACTGCCTGTAGACTTGACTGCCTCAAGCATAAAGGAGGTATAAAAAGAAACTTGCTGCTTCAGCAGGTTGAAAATAATTTTCTCCTTTCACACAGCAGCATTTGCTAAATCAACTAAAAATTGCATGGTAACATTTCAAGAACCATAAAAATATGATTATACCAACTTTTTTGGCTTATGTTTTCTTCTTTTGACAAAAGAGAAATATTGGCATTTTGGCTTATCATGTTATAGTTAAGTCCTATCAATCTAGAATTTTTTTCTTCTTAAAGTGTCTAGGATCTGGAAATAGCTGATGAATGATAGCATCTCCAAAGGTCATATGTCAGTAGGGGAGCATGATGAGTACAAAGGTCTGAAGAAACAGGGTGGCTAGAGGACAAGACAAAGGGACAGTGTAGTGATGTGAAGCTAGGAGATACTTATGGGCTAGATCATGTAGCTTGGACCTTATAGGCCATATTGGGTTTTGTTTTTGTTTTGAAGGCAATAGAGATCAGTTGAAGAGTTATAATTTGGATGGGAGGGTTAAAGTAGCGATAACATTATAGTTTTGAGGTATCCTTTATCTCCAGATAATATTTGGGAGGAGCAGATGGTACTCCTAGCAATGCAAAAAATTTCATATAAAAGTTTGAGAAACACTTCTAAAATCATAGACCAACAAAGAAAAGTGGGCAAGAAGTGTGGGGTAATAAAGTATTAAGAAGGGTGTCAAATTAAAGATACTGACAGCAGAAAAGAAACAAGTTGTGCATCAGAAGAGAAAAGAATTGCATCATGTTCCAGGGCAGGACAGAGAGCCTAACTGTGCATTAGCATTGGAACCCGGATGTGTTTCACACCTTTCCTGGATGGGTGTAAGTCAGTGTATGTTTTTGTGCATGTGTACTTCTCACTTGTGTTACAGCTTATGGCCTTTAAGATAATGGTAAATAGCTATCCTCAGTATGGTGCTGTTGAAGGTATGATATCTTTATAATAAGTCATAATGCAGACAAATATGTAACCCTATACAATAATGTGTTTACTGAAATACATTTAGAAAATATGTCTCCTGTATACAAGCCACTGTGTTTATTGCTGGGATATAATGATGTAGAAGTCATGCAGACTACAAACATGTTGTACACTGGTATTTTACTTGCAGGGTGTTGTTGAAACA